CATCTACGAAGAGACGATGGAACACGTCATCTTCGAATGCAACGACATCTATCACACGGGGGAAGAACTCCTGTGCCGTCTCGGACTCCACGAAGGAGCAAACAATGCAACCGAAGTAAGAAGGACAAAAAGAATCCTGGAGGATTGGGACAAACAACGATCTGCTGAATTTCGCGCCTGATATGAAAGGCTGATTGACTGTGTATATACAAACAAACGGATGTACACCTCAATCTGGATCACAATAAACCATAACCATAACCATAATGTTGAGATCCTGGCTTTATTTTCGGAGGTTCAATCATCAGTCGAAATCCCATACTATGCTGCTGTTCCTAGAGAGCGGCACCAAGAGACGACTTAATTCCATGATGTTCTGTCGATACATCCAATGTATCTGTGACGGGAAAAGGGCGTACCTGCGAAGAGAATCCCGATTGAGAATTCAATTTATTGGCGAGCAATCCTGAGTTGGGGCTCCGGCGTATCTGTTGGAATGGGCACTCGAGCTCGTGGTAAGCAGTTACAAATGAGTCTTAAAAAAACTCTCTGTCTCACTTTCCGTCGATGAGAACCCGGGATGGCTTCTTGTACATGCCGAGGAGGCGGATTTTGTGTATGACCAGATTATAGAAGGGAGCGTAGAGATGGCATTTCCCGGACATCACCGTCAAAGAGAGTGCAGTCTGTAATTTGGAATGAGAGTCAAGCGTGATTTGTGACACCGTCTGTGAACCGCGACACGGGCTCCGTGAAGAGTATGAGCCTCGAGGAACCTTCAGAAATAGCGAGCGGGCGACCTTGTTGGCAACGATGTTCATCACTATGTAGTCACCACGCTCGAATGAGTCTGAAAAAACGACAGAAGATTCATGGTGATGCGAGGGCCTTTTTTCCGCTGAGAGTCATGGACGGAAATTGGATTCGATCCGCAGATGTCAACAAACCTAGGGTTTCGCCGTCGTCCCAATAGAGCTGCCCTTCTGACCCAAAGGTGTCATCGTACGCAACGATCAGCGACAAGGGGTTCTTCCGGCTGCAATTTCGGGAAAGCGAGAATCCGGTGAGATTCGTGAGAATTCACTAGGAGATCGATCGGAAGAAGACCCTGGAGCCCTACCGGCAGTTCTAAATCATGAATTTCGGATCTGAACCGGAGATCTCTATAGCGATTGCGTGTACGGCATTATCGGACCATGATCTTATTGAGGTACACTCCCCGAGAGCTTGAGGACTCGCGTATTGTCTATGAATGAGCCTCACTGTCGGTGTAACCGTAGAGAGAGGGGACCCCGTGGTATTCACCTCCGCATTATTGTCATATAAGTCGAAGCACAAGTCGATTTCAACAAACCTCGAATGAGTGTTCAGGGCCGGGTTCTGAAGCGGGATCACTCTACCTCCGCGAACGTGGGCGACTAGAGGTTTCTCGACTGAGTATAGAGGGACTGGGATTTGAATGAAGGAACCGCTCGTCGAAACTCGCTCTCCACTGAAGAAATCATACCATATCCCAGGCGGCAGATAGACTTCTTTTGATACCTGATACTGAAAATCCATTGTTCCTCTTAGAGAACAAGTCCATCGCTGATGGGTTCTCCGAGATTAATGAAGCTCCCAAGGCCCCGTCTCTCCGGCCGGAGCATCAGTCGTAAATGGCTCACTCACCAGATAGAGTGCGGGACTGAACATGAGAGCGTCACCCCACATCAATTGCTCTTCAGATTTTATGGAATTCCGGTCGTTTGGAAAGCTGCAGAATATAACATGAAGGTGCTTTGGTTTCATAACTTCCTGATATCCGTACTGCTCAGCTCTGGGTCCCAGCACTCACTTGAATGACAATGGGCGGATAACGCTGCCGCCGACTGCGTGACTTTTGTAGAACAGAGTGTACAGGAAAGGAATCAATTGGTATCGGAGGCGGATGATCTCTCGGACTGCTCTCGAGAAATCCGTTCCGTATGCCGGCGGATCCTGAGACTGAGAGTTCAGAATGATATTCAGATGCAATGAGGGGGTCGCTATCGCGGTCGCTCTCTCGGAAAACTGACCCGGAATCTCGGAACAGCGGTGAGAATATTAATTGTGATCATTTTCTTGGTGACCACGAATCTGACAGAGAAATTCCCAAGTCGCGGAGCAATACTCACTGCAGCCTCGTCTGCGTTGTGATTCCGCATCAGGGGCAGCATAGCCCCGAGTTGAGTCCATCGGTAGCACAGCTCTTGGGGAGAATCTTCGAAATGGCCGCAAACGTCTCCTCCAACCAAGGGGATGCCGAACATGTTCATCTCGAGAGCGGCTCGCAGCGTCCACCTGCGGTTTTAGTTTCTCATCAATCATCCGCGGTACTCGTGTTCCCCGCTAGGATTCGAGCATTCGGGTTCTCCTAGAGAATCCCGGTCGAGGATGAAAGTACTGACCGCATGTCCCTCCAGGAGGAACTATCGAGCTCATCGAACCAATGCCCCGCGTACCGCCCGGTTCCGAGAAACGTACTCCGTGACACTATCAGTGGTCTCGTGCCGTTGAGAATGGATTTCATGGCATTGTAGAATGCGATGGCGCTGAAAAGCAGCATTCTTCGCGTGAGTCTTTGACTTCCCTTCGAAAATTTTCACAATGACGGAGTCACTCGAGAATTCCTTTTGAAACGACCCGATCATCACCTGAAATGCCCGTAAACATTGTGGACGTTATAGTGTTTCATGGAATGTCCTTTGAATATGTGATTCGAATCCATGCACAAGGTTCCGTCGAAAAGGAAACTGCCTCTCGTCGCTGAAATTCGAAATCATAAATGAGCGCTTGCAAATTCATTCACAAATGAAACCAGAAGTTGGTGAACATCACCTGGTGCTGTCCCATCAGAGTCTACCTCCCACAGAATGTAAAGAATTACCGGGTTTGTAATGAGGGAAGTTCAGGTTGTCGTTGATGCATTCAGTTTCCACGAAAGACTTATTCGTGAAGTCCACAGGCTCATTGTTAGTCTGTGGGGGGATAAAGGAATCAAGTTGAACTACGTTTCGAGTATCATTCTTCTCGTGGACTTATTCGATTGAATTCTATCTCACCAGAAAAATCCCATCGAACGTCAGCTTCATTCTATAAACTGCAACTTCGTCTGCCAGCCACTTCCATGAAGCCTCATTCAAGAAGTCGGGATATCCCACTTCGCCCGCCCAAGACAGTCCTTTGACAGTTCCCTCGAATGAATTGCGCACGAGGATTTTGCGTTTGAAAGCATTCATAAATGAAGAATGCTGGACTGATAGAGCTGGTTCCATAGTCAAGAGGACTCGATAATCTCTCTTCCGATGATATTCAACTATGGCCGGTAATTCCTTGTAAGTACCTGGAAAGACAGGCAAACTTTCTTTCCAGTCTGATGGAGGGGCTTCAAGCATGAGATACTCTACGCCGCTACGAGCTCCGAGTCCGAGGTCCCACGATGGGATCCTAACCATTTGTATCTAAATTAAAGCTTTCATGCTGCCCGCGGATATCGAGATCAAGCGAAAGCCCATCCTGGGGGATCGACTGCTTCCTCATTGCTTCCTGCTGAGTCTGCACGTAGTAGTCGTTCTTGAAGCCCCACCTGAAAGGAAAACTCCTGAAACTTGTTCCGCTCGCCGCAGTCTCATTCGGGCACCCGAATATCCGTCAACGACTCATGTTCCATGTTCCACTTGTCTGGAACCTTCAGAGATCAATGACAAGTCTATGAGCTACGGACCCCTGGTGTCGCCTAAACGACGCATTTTCTAATGAACAAACCTTCCGAGGTGATAACCGAGAGCCCAATACGGAGGCATGAAGGGTCTCCCGATGAAGGAGTGGTACTGTCGAAGAACATCTTCCGGCGCAGGTCCCATGAAGATGTAGAGATCGAGGACACCTCCGATGACCCGGAAGGTCAAAGAGGGAGCGGGTTGCGCGTGGATCTCTGCAATCGATAGTCTTGGAAGGATCCCCTTTCGGAGCGTAGTAATGTTCAAAACATCGAGATACTCTAGAGCTAGATAGATCAAGACATTCACCCATAGGACTGCTGTTCATCAGCAAAACTCCGTGTGCGTTTCCATCGTTCTCAATGACTACGTAGAAAGGGTGAGATCCATGCCTGTTGCCCTGCATCCCCTATTCCCGGGAAAGTGATCTATTCAGTCCCAGGTCCTGATCTCACCTCTAGAGTGGGAATATTCGATAGAAGAAAATAAAATCGATGGACCCACGTTTGGAGGATAAGTCTCCGCGTTGAAGAGGGGATAGGTTTTGTAATTGAGATCCATTTTGATGCCAGGCTTCATGTGTTCTCCTATGCCGTATACATTATGCGAGGGCAGGAGCGTTGTGATCTGCGAGGATGATTAATGACAAAATGAATTCATGAAGGGATTCGCCTCCGGAGGAGGCCTAGCGAGGACGGCATGAAGCAATGGTCAAATATGAATCCGAAGTGGTATCCCATTAGTCCATCAGTTCTGCTCCGATATCGACTCTTGTCTAATTACTTCTATGAATTGCCCGGAGAAGATCAGCGCCCCAGCCGAAGTGTCGAAAACCGTGGTCCCGGTCGCCGATCTCCGAATTATGATATCCTGCAAAACGATAAATTTCAATTATCTCGATCATGATCATTACGGTCACCGGCATGGTCCCAACAAGTTAGTTTTCTGTTCGAAGCGCTAACAGACTGCGTGTGGTCGCTCGGTTGGTCCGCAGATCAAGGGACCGGGCGGCCTGTGCGCGGCAAAACTCCGCCTTGACTCGCTTGCGACTGGCGGTCAATAATCATTTTTCGGTGTACGACATGACGGATGGCTCACGAATCGAGGATCCGTTTAGCCTTCGACAATCTATCGATACGATCTAAATTCACATTGAATTATCGATAATAATAATAAGTTATCAGCGGCATCCGTCGTTAGCCTGAAAAAGCGTCAGTCGCCGACATCAATTACTGCTCGCGGAGCACCCGTTGGCGCAACGCACATTTTAATTTCGAACACGCTCCCAGTGAGCGACGCAGAACATGAAAAGCGACACGAAGAAAAACGTCTTACTTGCTTATCGCTGAACGGGAAAATCTTGTTGTAAGATACGGCATAGGCCTCCATTGACGCGTTCGAATTCTCGTGATGAATCGGTAGCGACGGGAAAGGTACTTCGGCGCGCTCGTCCTTGGGATCAGAAATCTAGAGGGTGTTCGAAAATTTTCGAATTGAGATCCACGCCAACAATACGGACGGAGGAAGCTTTCACAAACGACGGTTTCCAGTCAGTCTTCGCTTACTTTGATCCTCAACCGATCAGTGGTCTGATGTTCGACACGAAGCGTGACGTATGGTGCCTCATCCCCGTACCTCAGGGGGGACTCGTCTTTGTCCAAGATGTATTCGTACCCTCTTGTGCATACGGGATTAGGGCCAGAGAAATGTCGATAACCCTTGTTGGTTGGTAGAAAACATGATGGGACCTACGATCGAGAGATTGTATAATGATGGAGTGAGCCGTTACCGCGCAGGAGTGGGGAATACCGCAGGCACTGGGTGCGGTCGGAAGATACACGAAAGCTCTGATAGCCAGATCTATAACGCTCACCCTGGCGTTTGTCGCTTCTCTGTAGCAGCAGCCCCTCGACAGGCAGTCCTGCTTCGAGACTTCGCCTTTCTTATCGGGGTAGCAATCGTAACGACGAAAATCCTCGAAAAAAGATTTCGGACAAGCTTTCTTCCACGGAGTTCTCAACTTTCGTTCGCCTAACGGTGTGAAGTCGATTTCGCTCAAGTATCTGTGAAAACCGAGGATCACTCGCATGCATTAGCGTCCAATCCTGTGCTCATCGCCGGGTGCAGTCGGATAAGAGGAAGTCATAGAAACTCGTATGGCTCCACTTCTGATATATGTAGCCTCGATAGTCGGCCGGACGACGACGCACCTCCTAAGAACCGCGTAATACACTGGAACACAGACTGCCACTAAAGCAAGGATGAGGGCGACAGAACCGACGATCCCGTTGTACAGTCGACGATCTCTGCGGAAGATTAAGTCTCATTCTGAATGGGTTTGGCCACAGCCGGATCGGCGCTTCGCTCCCTCTATCCACGGTTCTCGGTAGAGATGACTCACTTCACTTGACTCCGGAATCTCCGACGTCTGCGTATGCGACCCGTAGATTTCAGACTCTGTCGACTGTTCCACCGCACCAGAACTTCACCGTTGTAGCATCGTCCAAGCGGTAGAGGATTGTCTGAGTCGCCGGCTAATCTGTCGTTTTCCATCGCGAGATCCTCGCTACCGATAAAACGCTGATCCGTGATTCTCGAACATGCCGCTTCTCTATACAGGATAATTTTTCTACGATTGACGATAAAGCTATTCCTATGCATGATGATTGTAAACAAGTTTCTCGAACTGAGATGAAACTGTACCGGTAACGAACCTTGTCGCGTTAGCTCTTCAAAGTAAGCCTGGCAAGCAACTCCGGCGGGTCGTCAAGTCCCTGATTTGTTTGGGAGTGCTCCTCAAAATAATCATGGGAGCGATCGATCACTGATCTTCGCTTATGGAAACTGATCTTTCTTGAGAGGAGGTCGGTAGATACATCAGTGGGCGAAATCTGAAGAGAAATTCGATTCGTCAATTCTCCGTGATTGCTAGGAACCGAGGAGTGGTTCTGCTGAAAAACATCGTTTGACGGCCAGAGCTTATTTATTCTTGGTCCGGACATTTTCGGTTATCAAGGTTGACGCCAAAACATACAGCGCATAATGGCGACCTTACATAATGACCGAATTCTCACTCCGCCGTCGATGTCCAAAGAAAAGAGAAACAGTACGTGTATTCAGGTGGTATCCTAGAGCCTGAGGCGTCAGTTTTTCCATTGACTGGCGCCTCCTCGCTTTGAAATTTTCGTGCCGCGAGGGGCATGGGCTAATGAGATCATTACTCTCGATATTATACGCATCATATCTACAATTATCAGTACTATGGAATGATTCAGTTGCTTCCTCTCTCAAGCCAGACCCACGGCAGAGGGACTCGTCTGGACGACAGCTAAGTCAGCGTTCAACGTTTCCGCGTTATAAGCAGGTTGGCTTGACGCACCTGGCTTATCTAATTCTAGAATAAGTGACGACCGACATAAAGTGGTGAAAGTGGCAGATATACACGACGCGTCGCTGCCGTGCCGACAGCGAGCTGTATTCTTCTTGACCTTCTTCTCCACATCCGATCGTTCACTCCCTCCCGAGGACACACGAAAATTAGCAATCTTCCGCGCCTCGAGATACTTGAGGAAAAATCTGGCGTGTGGCTCGATTTCTTCGTTGAGCCTCTCTTTTTGATTGAAAAAATATTCGTGAGTGATGGAGACGACCGAAAAAATCTCTCGAGCTGCGAGCAGAATACGTGATTCAAGAGAAAAGATATCGATAACCGAATCTGGACCCGAGTTGATGGTGTGATCGGGATATCCGTTTAGACGAAATAAACCGAGAAGCTCCCCGAACCAGTTTGGCTATCACCTGCCCAAGTCGTGAGGTCGGGGCGGAAACTCAGGGCGTTATGGCCCCAAGACGAAAACAAAACGCTGCTTTCCCGAGATCCACCCAAGGCATCCAGAAACATCGATATATACTGACGATATCCAGCCTTGATATTTACACGAAAACATCAGATTGACGAGTGAGAGTTTGAAAAATTCAGTTGAGTGTCATCCTGCAGGAGTCTGAGCTGCCGCAAAATTAACGAGGAATATCCTCTTCCAATAGAAAGACTCGATTGAGATGCTGCGACTACGAACCGCTGATTTCGCCGAGAAATCTCGCGTACTGTAAGACATTGGCAAATCGAGAGCAGTCCCGGGTATCATCAGAGTAAGACTGATGCTTCACTGACGGCTGACTTCCCCCGGCATCCCTGAAGCAAGGGAAACATAGGATAAGCATGAGCGGAATGTCTCCGGTCCGGGGTCTCGACTAATTGAGGGCTGACTCCCATCCGACGAGACCGGGACGGAGGCCGAGTATTCAAATTGGTTCCCCTGAATCGTCAAGCGCCGGATCCGGGCTTTTGCCACGAACGTGATGGCGCCGCGAGCTCAAACCATTTGCGTTTGGCTAGTCGAGCTCAGAACAATGAGCGCGGCGTCTGAATGGAAGGAGCGCTCGGATTTCACACGGCGGACACAAGCAATAACTCACCTTATTCGTTTGAGGAGCGCACTGATAAGTCCCCATTCAAGTGTAGAGAAATTCCAGATAAGAGTCCTTTCGCGGTCACCATTGACGGAATCATCAGAGCTCCACTTGTTTGCCAAGTATCCAACAGAATGGTGAGCACGCAGGTCGATTCACAGGCTGACTGACCGGCCGAAGAGCCGTCTAGCTCAATGCATTGTCCAACGGCTCGACGTCCGACCGCAGTGCCGTTATTTAGGTGTATGAAAAACAGACAACGACGACGAAGATGATGCACCTGCCTCACTGTCCGTCTATAGGTCCGCATGTCTGTCGGTCGATCCGTCGACATGTCCGTGGGAGGGTCGTGGGTTTTTCGTGGTGGGCAAGGAGAGCCAATTCAAAACCATTGGATATGGACTTAATTGTACCATCGTACTGAGGGGCTCTCCTCCGTCCAAGAATACAGGGTTCGACCGACATGCCAGAGATATTCACCAATAAGATCACCACTCAGTCAGCCTCATTTACCCAGTTCGTTGCTCGAACGGAATCTGAAAGAAGGGAATATGTCTCGGACAATCGTCCACAAGGGTCGTAACGGTGCTCAACGAGGGAAGCTTGAGATTATTGTTGTCCTGTGGTCATGAGTAAGCGAGTGATTTTTTTTATATCAGAAATCAGCTGAGAAGTTGCACATTCTCCGAATCCTTTGCGACCTTTGGCGGACGACTTTCTTGGGCTGTCAGTGGAGCAGAAAAATATTTCCTATCATGCTTTTATGGGATATGGCACGGTCGATGACTCAACGCCACTTTCGGCTAAAACTCTTTTTGCGGGGCATGAGCGGCCTCACATTCACGCGGCGAAAATTCTCGTTTCTGTCCCCGAGGATCAGCCAGAGTATACCAGGAATCGGGCAGCTCGAGAATAAGATACCATTCTCTGAGATGGGATCATTCCCGTGGAGGGGAGATCGGAGCGGCTCCAGTCAATTAGGGCGCCGCAATCCGAGCCGTACCATCTGAAATTGAGACTTTTAAAAGCTCCCGAGAAGAGTTGCCGTCATCTTCGTTCAGCGCGCGAGGCGGTGGGCCAGTGTTTTTCAATTAATTCCCGAGATAAATTGGAGCAGTATTAATCCGCCAGGAGGGCCGCCGTGAAAAATCGAACCTTCTGGAGGCTAGCATTATCGAAAAACATAAACCTGTTCTCTCGAATCAGAATATATGATCGTCATCTGCTTCGCGATCGCGTGGCCAATCCGAGAAAATTTTCAATATTTCATTCCTGATTATCTTTCCTCTTGAACGGTAAAGATTAATGAGACGAGTTCCCTGTTGTGCAGTATTTGTGGGTGGAGCGGGTCCGATTGTCAGCGAAGGGGTTCTATATTTCACACCTGAGGAGCTACAGTAACGGACGGAATCACACATTTTCCGGCGTCTGCTTTCTGGAACTTCTGTCCGCGGTCTTGAGGATTCAATTATCCTTCAGTGACGGCGAGCGAGGGGGAACGACGCTAATAAGAACTTCATTACCAATGGCACACCAGCGGAAGTCGAATTTGTTTTTCGCTTCGACCATTGGGATACAGAAAAAACAAAAAGCTTTCTGCATCTGACACTTTTTGTCTGGGAAATTAGCATAATTCAAACGCTCCGTGCTGTCATCAATTTTGAACCACAGTGTGATCTAGGGTGATAGAAGAACACATGAAGCCGTCCACCCTAACATACTGAAAAACGGAAACTTCCATTGACTTCATCCATAAGAGAATTGAGAAGTACAGTTTGCCCAAAGATTTCGCCCAGCAAATCGAGATCAGGTAGATAGTTCACTGAAGCGGCCCGAAAGAATCCATCGAGCCGTCAAGTCGCACCCGGTGATAGCAGCTTCAACTAGAACTAATCCCTTTCCGACAGCAGCCAGCCTGCAAGTTGCCATTAGTTATCAGTTATCAGTAATCAACTTGGAGCTGCCGCGACCTCGTGGTCTACGATGCATCTTACTGAGTTTCTAACTCTTTTCTGAAGCCGGATTGCCGGATCAAGAAGTTGATCATGTGCAATCCGAGAAGATCAAAAAAACGGAAAAATCATAGAGCCGCCAACGACTTTGAGTGCCGTTGCCATCATGAGCGAAGATGGCGACATTCTCTTGGAAGAGAGCTCAATCAGCTTCCAGTGATAAAGAACAAAAATATGTTTTGACTTTGATCGCATTACCGGATTGGCGGCGCAATCTCCGAATGTTGTCAGAAAAGACAGGATCAGGTGAGCGAGAGTTATTTCCACTTGAACAATTCTCGCTCGATATGAACAAGGTGTGTATAGCAAATTTGAATCGGAATGTCGGTTTAATATGTTTGTTTCACTCGATTCCGCTCGGGGCTCCAATTTTACGTGGTTTATTTAGAAGTTCGCTGGGTGAAGGCTGACAATGCGGGTTTAATCTCTGAATGAGCGATTTACTTAAATCTTGTATTTTTTTTCTTTCAAAATCGATGTCTCGAGCTGTCGGCGGCGACCAGATTCCTATGCGATCGTGGATCGAATTCTTGATTTTTCGTGATCCGAATGCGACTTCTCCGTAGCCAAACCGGAACGAGAAGGAATTACTCAATCAGACTCGGTCAGAGTCAGGAGAGTGGCCCATACGAGCGGCACAACGCTTGGTTTCGGTATCCATCAGGATTCTGAGCGACGACCAATTCGTGGGCTCTACAAACTAATGCCGATATTGAGCGAAATGGACGAGGGGATTAGCTGAACACTGATGGCCGTTCGATCATGGGAGACGTATTTGTTTTACTAGAGGCATTGCAGAGTGAGCGATTCAGACGAAGCTAAACGGTCATCAACGGAGACAGCGGCGCCCACCGAGGTCGCGCCGGATCCTGTCCAGCCCTTTTCTCCACAGTGCGAAAGCTCGGAAACGCTTTCGAGGAACCGTCTCCCGCGTCGATGTTCTGCTCGAAATGCTCGCTGAAATCACTTCAATAGTTCCTTCTGTTCTTTCATTCATCTAGAACTTTCGAAATTTCGCACGGTGAAATGGGCGAAGAACTGAACTTCAATTCGTTGCGCGACGACATTGCG